ACTCTGCAAACATCATTTAGCTCCAGAGTCTTTAGTTAGCATTTGGATGACAGAATTAAGTTTCTCAGTGGAGAAAAATGCAGTGAGCTATATGGCTTGCTAACATGATTATATATGCACCATTAGCCACAGAAACAAAGTAATAAGCACACAAGAATTCCTGCATTCAGAAACTTCAGAACAGTACCCCAGTTACAGGACATGGTAGTAGATGGCCCCATTCATAGAGGACCCAACAGCTTGATCTACTAGAAAATCTGATCCTCTTCCACACGGGGTGCAATTCAGACATGCGAGAGGACACCAAAGCCTAGGGGAAACCTTGAATGAAAATAGTATTTTTGAGAAAGGCATTTGCTTTGTTTAGTTTTAATAACCACTTGTATATTTGAAAGACTGGAGCTAGCAACAATTTTAGACAATCTCAGTTACTTGTTCCCTCATGACTGATCACCCAAAAAAACCTCAACACTCCCCCCCACACACACACAACTTGATGTTTTCAGACAATGATTTACTAATTTCCTTTTGTTTTTCAAGACAGGGTTTCTTTATAGCTTTGGAGCTTGTCTTGGAAATCACTCTGTAGATCAGGCTGGCCTCGAACTCACAGAGATCTGCCTGTCTCTTCCTCCTGAGTGTTGGAATTAAAGGCAAGCACCACCACTGCCCAGCCTAATTTTCCTACTCTTGATCGTTGATAATCTGAGTTCCTAAAGGTATAGGATTATATGATAGCTTGTCTTCATCATGCCTGGCCACTGGCACTGGTTATCAGTGGGGCACCCTCCACTGGCACTGTGGGCACATCTGTAATGGTCTACATGAACTCTTCGCCATACAATAATGTAACAGTGGCTTCTAAAAAACATTACTTACCATTCTTTTGACACTTGCTATTAGAGAAAGCAAGTTAAGGCCAACCCAGATTCAGGAGTCAAAGAGATAAATGTCAATACCATTGCGCAGGCATGGCCACAGAGAACAATTTATGGGTGCTATTATTATGATAATTGATCCCCTCATCTGGTCACACACAGTGACAGGTAAGAAGACATAGAGCTCTCACCTAGATGTAACCTAAGGAAAGAATTCAGTGAATTGGACTGAATGTAATTCGAGCTAGAGTGACTATAAATCCCATTTTTGATAATTCAATCTTGATAATTCTGAATATTGCTCAGAACTCACTTTCCATTATCATTAATGAGTACAATTTTTAACCTCATAATTTGGCTAATGAGAAGATCAAGGTATTCTAAGAAGAAAGTATCAACATTGGCATTTGTTATTGCTCATGCTTGCATTGCTGGAATTATCTTCAACTTCTAGCCTACTGCTGAGGGATGGAATCACCCATATGATTGGTAGGTGTTACTTAAATTTGGGATAGATTACTGCAGAAATTTGTCTTATGTATAATGTGTACATCACGAATGATTATTCTAAACTCTTCTCAACTCCTAATCTCTGTCCTTGTCATCCCTCTTCCAGATGTCTCTTGTGACATGAGTGTTATATGCAGCCATTTGACAATGGAGCTGTAAGACTTGTATCACAAGCCTTATTTTTATATTTTTATTCTAAATTTTATATACATATATGTATTCTTCGTATACTCTTTTGAGTCATCTTTTAACTTTTTCTTTGAAAATTATTACAATCTCTTTAATGCAACATGTCGTGTGTTACCTTATTTCATAACTACTGGCGTGTTATACCTGTCACACTCAGGGCTAGAAGAGGGCCATGGATAGAAATTTTAAAGATGCACCAGAAATTTCATTAGCACGATAATTACTTTTTTTTTTGGCTGAAAAAGAACATACTTTATTTGATACAATGCAAATTCAAAAAACCTTCTATACAGCTGGAGTAGGCATTTTGGAAAAAAATCTGTGGCATTTCATGATATACTTTACACTTTTAATTCCATATATATTTTATATAGTTATCTACCATCCAAACCAAAATTTTCATTACCGAATAAGGAATAGAAAAACATTGAGCCTTCTGCCCTATATCTTTATTTATTTTCACTGCCTGCACTCAGTTCTCACATATCCCCTTATATTTAGCCTTTCCCTTTCTCTTTTCTTCATGTTATACTGTACTCACATCCATGCTTTCTTACACATATACATACATTATTGGCTAGATTCCATAAATGAGAAGAACATGAGGTTGTATAAATTTACCAACTATTGTATATTTTAATTCCACATATTATCCTGCAAGATTTTAGACTTCATTTTTCTTTAGACCTAACTAATATTTATTGTTTGTATGTATGTGTGTGTGTGTACCAACTTTTTTAAGTATGGATTTTTTTAAACACCTAATGCAAAAAAAGAATGAAAGAAAGAAGGAAGGAAGGAAGGAAGGAAGGAAGGAAGGAAGGAAGGAAGGAAAGAAAATCTGTGATGGACATAGTAGGAGTGTTTCAGGTGAAGGTGTGACCCAGCAGACTGAAGACTGTTGAGCAAGCACTTGGCTAGATACTGACTTTAAAATATTCATCACACATTTTTAAATAGTTTTTACTTTATGACAGTATTATGCTCACAGCAATACTGAATGCAAAGCACCATGCAATCCTATGCACCTTAGCCTTTCCTCCATCAGTAGCTCCCAATACAGAGTGTTCCACTGGCACAACAGCAACAGCACTGTGAACAGCGTTCATTCCTGTATGTTGTGTGGGTTTGGATCACTGTAGGAAGGCATACTCACCACTATAGCTTCATGAGGAATAGTTTTATTACCCTAAAGAACCTACTCACCCCCCCCAATTTGAACTAACCACTAATTTCTGACTTTACATTGTCTCCAGAGCTTTTCCTTTTACAGAACGTTATAGTTGGAGACTTTCAATATATAGGCTTTTCAGACTATAGCTTTTCTCGGTGTTATACATTTATTCAAATTACCTTAATAGCCTGATGATTCCTTTCTTTTAGATGCTCCATAGGATTCCTTTGTATATGCCACAACTTAGCTAATGTTTTAGTATGGATTCTCCAATAACGTGTGGGAGTGGGATGTGGCTGAAAATAAGGAACTGGGTCTGCAATGATGTTGGCCAAAAGTGTGAAGTCTTGTGGCAAGACAAGTGCACTGATGGTATGGTCCCAAATTCAAAGACCCGAGAAACATCGAGAATCCAGTCAAAGGCAGGGCTGGCATGATATTCCCACTCAAAAATTGGCAAAGAGAACAAATTCTCACAGGCATTTTGCTCTGTTTAGGTCTTTCGCAGATGGGATGGAGGTCTACCCATACTAGCAAGAATAATCTGCTTTGCCCAGTCTTCTAATTCAAATGTTAATTTCATCTAGAAACAACTTCATAGAGCATACTAAGAAACTGTTTAATCAAGCATCTGGGTAGCTCTTGGCCTACCCAATCAAGTTGACCAAAAGTTCAACTACCATATCCACTCATCTCCTGCAGAACTTCTTGGTTGTTTCTAGGTTTGGGGAATCCACTCATCTCCTGCAGAACTCCTTGGTTGTTTCTAGGTTTGGGGAATTATGAATATGGCTTCTGATAATACGTATGTGCAGATTTTCATGTGAGCATGTTTTCAGCTCATCTAAGAATATCCAAACACTATAGTTGCTCCACCAGATGGTAGGAGTTTGTTCAGTTAATAAACTACTACACTGCCTTCCAAAAAAACAACACCATTTTACATTCTTACTAGCAGTGAATTAGAATTCTTGCCATATCACATTGGCATATACTTTTGTATGTGTGCATAAACTGACATTTTATACATTGCAGCAAAATATCACTTCCAAAGATCACTGAGGTTTTTGGTAACACCTTAATATTTGAGTTCAAAGCCAGCTTCTTCCTAACCTTATCTTCCTGGTTCCCAACCTGATTCCTCTAGGACAGAAAGCATATACATTACTAAGTCCATTCCCATAAATACAAAGCAAGTAAAAAAATAACTATATAATGCACTTACATAACCTATCCAAAATTTTAGCTTAGTGTTCTGAAACAGACATCAAATATTTACACTAGTCTATGATTGGGTGAAATCATTTAACACAAAGCCGATTTTGTAAGTACTAACGAATTGGGATGCAAAACCAAAGAATACAATATCCATACAGTGTTGGCATCAACATTTACTGTAAACTGGTGTTTAATGATGAGCTATGGTTGGCCAAGAACTGCCTACACTCTGCATAGAATGAGAATATTGTACTGTATCTTGTTTGACCAGTGTTGCGGTTTGAGGTGATATTTCCCCATGGACCCATATGTTTGAATACTTAGTCCCCAGCAGGTGGTAGTATTTTGAAGGTTATAGAATCTTAAGAAAGTTGAAGGTCTCTGGAAAAATTAGGTATTAGAAATTGAACCTTGAAATTTTTTTTGACGGTTGAATGGTAAATATATTTCTTTTTTTATTGAGAATAGGAAAAAAAAAAGTTTCCGCCTCCTCCCAGCCTCCCATTTCCCTCCCCCTCCTCCCACCTTTCTCCCCCTCCCCCCACTCCTCTTCCCCTCCCTCTCCAATCCAAAGAGCAGTCATGGTTCCCTGCCCTGTGGAAAGTCCAAGGTCCTCCCCCTTCCGTCCATGTCTAGGAAGGTGAACATCCAAACTGGATAGGCTCCCACAAGCCGGAACATGAAGTAGGATCAAAACCCCTTGCCGTTGACCTTGGCTTCTCATCAGTCCTCATTGTTCGCCATGATCAGAGAGTCCGGTTTTATCCCATGCTGTTTCAGTCACAGTCCAGCTGGCCTTGCTGAGCTCCCAATAGATCAGCCCCCACTGTCTCAGTGGGTGGGTGCACCCCCCGTGGTCCTGACATCCTTGCTCCTGTTCTCCCTCCATCTGCTCCTCATTGGGACCTTGGGAGCTCAGTCCAGTGCTCCAGTGTGGGTCTCTGTCTCTATCTCCATCCATCACCAGATGAAGGTTCTATGGTGATATGAAAGATATTCGTCAGTATTGCTATAGGATAGGGTCATTTCAGGTTCCCTATCCTCAGCTTCCCAAGGGACTAACTGGGGACATCGCCTTGGGCTCCTGGGAGCCACTCTAGGTTCAAGTCTCTTGCCAACACTAAGGTGGCTCCCTTAACTAAGATATGTGCTTCCCTGCTCCCCTATCCAACCTTCCTTTATCCCAATCTTCCTGTTTCCCCAAGTTCCCCCAATCCTCCCCTTCTCACTTTTCTCTCCCCGTCCCCCCTTATCCCCAACCCACCCCACCCCCAAGATCCCAATTTTCTCCCCGGCAATTTTATCTACTTCCCTTAGCCAAGAGGATAACTATATGTTTTTTCTTGGGTTCACCTTCTTATTTAGCTTCGTTAGGTTCACCAGGTATACACTCCGTGACCTTTATTAATGGCTAGAAACCAATTATGAGTGAGTACATCCCATGTTCATCTTTTTGGGTCTGGGTTACCTCGCTCAGGATAGTGTTTTCTATTTCCATCCATTTGCATGCAAAATTCGAGAAGTCATTGTTTTTTACCGCAGCATAGTACTCTAATGTGTATATATTCCACACTTTCTTCATCCATTCTTCCATTGAAGGGCATCTAGGTTGTTTCCAGGTTCTGGCTATTACAAATAATGCTGCTATGAACATAGTTGAACAAATGCTTTTGTCATATGATAGGGCATCTCTTGGGTATATTCCCAAGAGTGGTATTGCTGGGTCCAGGGGTAGGTTGATCCCGAATTTCCTGAGAAACCGAAACACTGATTTCCAAAGTGGTTGCACAAGATTGCATTCCCACCAGCAATGGATGAGGGTACCCCTTCCTCCACAGCCTCTCCAGCAAAGGCTATCATCGGTGCTTTTGATTTTAGCCATTCTGACAGGTGTGAGATGATATCTCAAAGTTGTTTTGATTTGCATTTCCCTGATTGCTAATGAGGTTGAGCATGACCTTAGGTGTCTTTTGGCCATTTGAACTTCTTCTTTTGAGAATTCTCTGTTCAGTTCAGTGCCCCATTTTTTAATTGGGTTAATTAGCATTTTAGAGTCTAGTTTCTTGAGTTCTCTATATATTTTGGAGATCAGACCTTTGTCTGTTGCGGGGTTGGTGAAGATCTTCTCCCAGTCAGTAGGTTGCCTTTTTGTCTTAGTGACAGTGTCCTTTGCTTTACAGAAGCTTCTCAGCTTTAGTAGGTCCCATTTATTCAATGTTGTCCTTAGTGTCTGTGCTGCTGGGGTTATACTTAAGAAGCGATCTCCTGTGCCCATCTGTTGTAGGGTACTTCCCACTTTCTCTTCTATCAGGTTCAGTGTGTTCGGACTGATATTGAGGTCTTTGATCCATTTGGACTTGAGTTTTGTGCAAGGTGATAGATATGGGTCTAATTTCAATCTTCTACAGGTTGACATCCAGTTGTGCCAGCACCATTTGTTGAAGATGCTTTCTTTCTTCCATTGTATACTTTTAGCTCCTTTGTCGAAAATGAGGTGTTCATAGGTTTGGGGATTAAATTCCGGGTCTTCTATGCGATTCCATTGGTCGACTTCTCTGTTTTTATGCCAATACCACACTGTTTTCATTACTGTAGCTCTGTGATAGAGTTTGAAGTCAGGGATGGTAATGCCTCCAGAAGATCCTTTATTGTATAGGATTGTTTTGGCTATCCTGGGTTTTTTATTTTTCCATATAAAATTGATTATTGTCCTCTCAAGATCCGTGAAGAATTTTGATGGGACCTTGATAGGAATTGCATTGAATCTATAAATTGCCTTTGGTAGAATTGCCATTTTTACTATGTTGATCCTCCCAATCCAAGAGCAAGGGAGGTCCTTCCATTTTCTGATATCCTCATCAATTTCTTTCTTCAATGCTTTAAAGTTCTTGTCAAATAGATCTTTTACTTCCTTGGTTAGAGTTACCCCGAGATATTTTATGCTGTTTGTGGCTATTGTGAAAGGTGAAGCTTCTCTGATTTCCCTCTCTGCTTCCATATCCTTTGTGTATAAGAGGGCGACTGATTTTTTGGAGTTGATCTTGTATCCTGCCACATTACTAAAGGTATTTATCAGCTGTAAAAGTTTCTTGGTGGAGTTTTGAGGGTCACTTATGTACACTATCATATCATCTGCAAATAACGAAAGTTTAACTTCTTCCTTTCCAAGTCAAATCCCCTTGATCCCCTTATGTTGTCTTATTGCTATTGCTAGAACTTCAAGCACTATGTTGAAGAGGTATGGCGAGAGTGGGTTTCTGAGTTTAGTGTTCCTGAGTTTAGTGGGATGGCTTTGAGTTTCTCTCCGTTTAATTTGATGTTAGCTGTCGGCTTGCTGTATATAGCTTTTATTATATTTAGGTATGACCCTTGTATCCCTAGTCTCTCCAAGACTTTTATCATAAAGGGATGTTGAATTTTGTCAAATACTTTTTCAGCATCTAATGAAATGATCATATGGTTTTTTTCTTTCAGCTTATTTATATGATGGATTACATTGATAGATTTTCGTATGTTGAACCAGCCCTGCATCTCTGGGATGAAGCCTACTTGATCATAATGGATAATTTTTCTAATGTGTTCTTGGATTCGGTTTGCCAGTATTTTGTTGAGGATTTTTGCGTCGATGTTCATGAGTGAGATTGGCCTGTAATTCTCTTTCTTGGTTGAGTCTTTGTGTGGTTTTGGTATCAGAGTGACTGTAGCTTCATAAAAGGAATTTGGCAATGACTCTTCTGCTTCTATATTGTGAAATACATTAAGGAGTATAGGTATTAGGTCTTCTTGGAAGTTCTGGTAGAATTTCGCATTGAAACCATCAGGTCCTGGGCTTTTTTTGGTAGGGAGGTTTTTGATAACAGCTTCTAGTTCTTCGTGACTAACAGGTCTATTTAGGTTGTTCACCTGGTCCTGGTTTAACTTTGGTATATGGTATTTATCTAAAAACGTGTCCATTTCTTTTACATTTTCCAGTTTTGTGCCATACAGGCCTTTGTAGTAAGATCTAATGATTCTTTGAATTTCCTCTGTGTCTGTGGTTATGTCCCCCTTTTCATTTCTGATCTTATTAATTTGCATATTCACTCTCTGGCGTTTTATTAGTTTGGATAGAGGTTTATCAATCTTGTTGATTTTCTCCAGGAACCAGCTTTTTGTTTCATTGATTCTTTGGATTGTTTTCTGTGTTTCTATTTTGTTGATTTCAGCCCTCAGTTTGATTATTTCCAGTCTTCTACTCCTCCTAGGTGAGTCTGCTTCTTTTTTTTCTAGAGCTTTCAGGTGGGCTGTTAAGTCTCCAATGTGTGCCTTCTCTGTTTTCTTTAAGTGGGCACTTAGTGCTATGAACTTTCCTCTCAGGACTGCTTTCATAGTGTCCCATAAGTTTGAGTAGGTTGTTTCTTTATTTTCATTGAATTCAAGGAAGACTTTAATTTCTTTCTTTATTTCTTCCTTGATCCAGGTGTGGTTCAGTAGTTGACTGTTCAGTTTCCATGAGTTTGTAGGCTTTCTGGGGGTAGGGTTGTTGTTGAATTCTAACTTTAATCCATGGTGATCTGATAAGATACAGGTGGTTACTAATATGTTTTTGTACCTGTGGAAGTTTGCTTTGTTACCGAGTATGTGGTCAATTTTCGAGAAGGTTCCATGAGCTGCAGAGAAGAAGGTATATTCTTTCCGATTTGGGTGGAATATTCTATAGATGTCTGTCAAGTCCAATTGATTCATTACCTCCATTAATTCTCTTAGTTCTCTGTTAGGTTTCTGTCTGATTGACCTGTCCATTGGTGAGAGAGGAGTGTTGAAGTCTCCCACTATTAGTGTGTGCGGTTTGATGGCTGCCTTGAGTTTTAGTAATGTTTCTTTTACGTATGTGGGTGCTTTTATATTAGGGGCGTAGATATTCAGGATTGAGACTTCCTCTTGATGAATTGATCCTGTTATGAGTATAAAATGTCCCTCTCCATCTCTTCTGATTGATTTAAGTTTGAAGTCAAGTTTGTTAGAAATTAGTATGGCCACACCTGCTTGTTTCTTAGGTCCATTTGCTTGATAAGCCTTTTCCCAGCCCTTTACTCTGAGTAGGTGCCTGTCTCTGTGTTTGAGGTGTGTTTCTTGTAAACAGCAGAATGTTGGATCCTGATTTCGTATCCAATCTCTTAGCCTGTGCCTTTTTATAGGTGAGTTGAGCCCATTGACATTAAGTGATATTAATGACCAGGGGATGTTAACTCCGGTCACTTCTTTAGTAGTAGAGTTCGTGTGCGTCCCTTCTTTGAGTTGCGCTGGTGACGGGTCTCTAGATGTCTGAGTTATTGTGGTCATTGTTGGACTCCTTGGTTAGAGATTTTCCTTCTATTACTTTCTGTAAGGCTGGGTTTGTGGCTACGTATTGTTTAAATTTGTTTTTATCCTGGAAAATTTTGTTTTCTCCATTTATGGTGAATGAAAGCTTGGCTGGGTATAGTAGTCTGGGCTTGCATCCATGGTCTCTTAGTTTTTGCAGTACATCTATCCAGGACCTTCTGGCTTTCATGGTTTCCATAGAGAAGTCAGGTGTAAGTCTGATAGGTTTACCTTTGTAAGTAACTTGGCCTTTTTCCTTTGCGGCTCTTAATATTCTTTCTTTATTCTGTATGTTTTGTGTTTTGATTATTATATGGCGAGGGGATGTTTTTTTTTTTTTTTTTTTTCCAGCCTATTCGGTGTTCTGTATGCTTCTTGAACCTTCATAGGTACATCTTTCTTTAGGTTGGGAAAGTTTTCTTCTATAATTTTATTAAATATATTTTCTGGGCCGTTGAGTTGCACCTCTTCTCCTTCTTCTACTCCAATTATTCTTAGGTTTGGTCTTTTTATTGTGTCCCATATTTCCTGAATGTTTTGTGATGAGAATTTGTTGGTTTTGCTGTTTTCTTTGATCAGTGTGTTTATTTTCTCTATGGTATCTTCAGTATCTGATATTCTTTCTTCTATCTCTTGTATTCTGTTGGTAGTACTTGTCTCTGTAGTTCCTGTTCGTTTACCCAGATTTTCCATCTCCAATCTTCCCTCGGTTTGTGTTTTCTTCATTACTTCCATTTCATTCTTCAAGTCTTGAACTGCTTCCCGTACCTGTCTGATTGCTTTTTCATGTTTCTCTTGATTTTCTTGGGTATCTTTAAGCGATTTATTCATTTCCTCTACCTTTTTGTTTGTAATCTCTAATTGTTTATGGCAGTTTTTCACCTCCTGCTTAAGGTCTTCTATTATTTTCATATAATTCACTTTTGAGTCGATTTCTTCTAATTCTTCTGGAGTAGGGTGTACAATTCTTCTTATTTCGGGATCCCTTGATTCTGGAGAAGTCATGTTGCCTTTCAGGTTGTTGGAGGAAGTCTTGCATTGGCGCCTTCCCATCTCCTCCTTCAAATGGAGCCAGGAGAGGCCTGGTGTCTTGGTCCAGTCTTTGCTGTGAATGAGTCTCTGGGTGTATCTTTTCAGTGTAGAAGCAGGGACCGTCCAGTGGAGCTGGAACTCCTCAGCACCCAAATATGGATGACGGTCCAGATGGAAATCCTCAGGACCGCTCTGGGTAGGTTGTGGATGCAAGCCTGATGTCTCTCCTGGTGCGGGGTGTGGATCTCCTTGCTGCTTGGGTGGCTTGTAAACAAATGGCCTACCTAGCTCACTGCAGGCAGGGTAGTGGGACAAAGGAGCTACCATTCTCCCATTTGCCCTGCCGATTCGGATTAGGTCCTAGAGCCCGAACAGGCTGGGCTGGGAGCTGTTATGTGGTCAAAGATGGGAGGGAGACAGACGGAGGGGGGGAGGGTTGTGGATGCAAGCTGGGTGGGATAGGAAGAGAGAGGAGGTATCGGGCAGAGTAGCCCCTGAGGATGACCAGGAAGTGTAGGAGGGATGTCTGAGTTCCCTGTCCAGGGCTGCTGCCAAGGTCAGAAACTCACTCACCCCAGTGATGTCTCTCCTGATGCCTGGACCGGATCC